GACACAAAGCGTAAATCTGTCTGATAGGTCCCCAAAGGAGATAAGAAAGGATATTGAGTTATAGGATGTTACCTCTATTCGACAGACTTATAATGATATAATTTAGGAAAAGGAAAGTTAAGTACCATAACGAAACATAGACTGATTTGGCAAATAGATTTTAAAGCTAAAAGGGAGGAGCAATTAAACTTATGGATGATTAATACTATGCATAATAATGCTTCAGGTCTTAGACATTCTATTGATATACTCGTCACGTGATCACTCAAATAAATAAATATGGACGCGTTTTGCGTTAAGCTGGCCAAATTAGAGGGAAAATAATTTTCCATAAAAAGCATAGGCTATTTTGAATGAAATCACAATCCAAACACCTTTATTTCTTATTATAAGTGTTTAAAAAAATACCCTTCAAATGAGTATTTTATAAGATTTTTTGATTTTCTAATATTATGATCTGAAAGTTTGTATTATATAAGCTTTAAAAAGTAGGGTTAACCGCTTTATTTACGTGAATTTACTGCCTTCTGTCCTAGCTTGCCTGATTCGCTGTCGCGGCTCCCTCTTCTTGGTCCCTGCCTTGATGCTTCTTTTTGTCCGCTAGGTCCATGATGTCGGGCGATTTAGCCGAGTCCCCTATCTGTTCTTCTGATAAAAACTTTTGTGTTAGTAACAGGCTTTTTGATCAACCTTCCGCATCGTCTGACTTCTCAATTTCTAAACCTGGCGTACATAAAAGAACATCTTCCAAGCCTATTTATTGTCATCCTAAGCGTCAACGATCGTCTTATGGAAGGAGCTTAACTCAAAAAAGTGTGAAGTTTGGTGATGTTGAAGTCTACAAATTCCTCCGAGAGCAGGGATTTGTTTCTGTCCCTGACAAGGGTGGCTGCACGCTTGGTATGGCGGCCAAGCATTTTACAGTTGATCGGTATGATATCCATCACTATCGGATGATTAAAAAATTTAAGCGAAAGTTGATGCAAGATCAAGCAGCTCGTACTGGTCCCTCTTTGCTGACTTCTGGTGTGTCTAGCAGAAAACGTGGTCGAGGAAGGGGGCGGTTTCGTGATGCGGTGTCTTCCCCTTGTTCACCATCTTCGGTAACTCCCGGAACTCGTTCAAGCTTGAGTCCAGGAGATTCGCGCAGGGTTCCGATTTTTCCATCTCCTCCTAACTTATCTCCTCAACCATACAATGCCGAGGCTCCGTGTGATTTTTTATTTATGCTTAATTCGAAACTACTTCCCATGGATCAGGGGGGCTTCGCTTTTTGTGGGGCAGGCACTCCACCTCGTCTATCACCACCATCTCCCGGTCGTTATTTCCGCCGGGAGGGCTACAATACACCCGTGCTTAAGGAAAACCTTGTGCTAAGCCCCACCGACACTGATTCTGATGTTTCGTTGGATCAATTCCCACCTATAAATTCACCTTGCAGAACCCGAATCAGAAAGACCTCCGCGAAACTTTTGCCCATTCACTCAACCGCGAGGGCTCGTT